TTGAAATAATTTAGTTGTTGGTGTTAGGGTCTGTTTGTCTAGTTAAAGCGTTTTTTATTTCTATTTTTTTACTTCTGCTATGTTTGTTATTGTACTCACTTATAGCATGGGCACAAGGGTCTTTTCCCTTCTTATTTCTGCCGCCCTATATATATTATAAAAAAAGCTGGCGCCGCCAGCACTTTTACATTGCCAATCCCTTCTTTTCTCTTCTCCCTTCTCTCTTCTTCTCTTCTCTTCTCTTCTCTTCCTCTTATTTCTGGCCGGCCACACTATCAAGATAATTAATTAGGGACAAAGAGTCTTTGTACACAAAGTCCATAACATATAAATAAGAAGGTTGTCAACTCAGAGAGGGTGCTTTTTCTCTCCAGTCGTTTCTCTCTATTCTCGTCCTCTTCTCTTTCTCTCCTTCTCTACTCTTTTCTCTTGTTTTTGACCTAGAACTGAACCAATGCTAACAGAACTATTAACACCTCTACCACAGTAACCACCCAAAACTTGCAGCTTCTAGTTTGACCCCCCATTAGCATCAATCTTGCATAACAGCTGAAGTGTTGCAATTTCATCTTTGATCTCTATTAAACCTCCATAGAGGCATCCAATTTTGAAAGACGTCTTCCATCAACAATGAAAGGGCAGGCCAAGAACTATGATATTGACACTCTACAAACCATATAGAGGGTTCAAGTTACATGTCAGACACAATCTAGAGATCAATACTGGACCCAATGCAGAGCTTACAACTTTTGCATTGAATACCCTGCGAGTTGTTATTTGTGTCCTACATTGCATTCATTTTATCAAAAAGATGTAGCAGTTTCTCTATTTTGATCTCCTATTTCTCCTTGACTATAGTTTCTACTGTCACCCAATCCTCAACCTCCATCTTTGTTGTTACCACATACCTCTTTGCCTATCCACATTTGTTACCATCAGTACCATGCTCGCGTTGATATCTCTTCTCCCTGTTTCATCTCCTATGGCATTTTTCCATAACTTCCATCCTTTTAACTCCAAAGCTTTGGCATTATATTGTTCTTTCTTAACAATTATTGCCTGCAAAACATCTGCCATGTTTCTCCACCTAGGCTTTCCTCCCACAGGGTATGCATATACTAGTTACCTTTTTTCCTTGCAAAAAAGTTCTGTTAGGGAGAGGTAGCTCCTTCTGTTGTTCTACCTCCTTTCTTTCATATATTTTTTACCAGGGCCCTATAACTCATTTTGACACCCCACCTCTGAAATGCAAGCAATGCCCTATCAACTAAACCAATGAACTACACAACTATCTTCCCATCAAGTATTACAGATCCTTTCCCAACTTCACATTATCTTCATGCTTTCTTGAATCTGCTCACTGCCTCCTCAAACACAAAGGTTTTTGCTTCAATCTCTTCAAACACCAAGAAATGCATACAAATTTTACTTTTTACAAGAATTTAATATTTCAGCCAATTCAAATACCCTGTTAATAAACCCAAATATCCATCAATAATTATTAATATTATAAATTTTTGGAATTTAAAATACATTCATCAAAATAGTAATTCAAAGATATATGAATATGGTGACTTTCTGCAAACAAGAACTGTACCTTAAACCCATGATGTGCTCAAGAAATGAAACCGAATTTATATTTAGATATTATACAAAACCAAAATAGATTATTAAATATTTTTCACAAAAGAATATCAACTATATTGTACAACATCAATGTGTTGTACTGAATTGAGAAACACAGGATATGCAACAAAACCTCAGGATTTTTTGTGATTTCATTGTCCTATTAATAGCGCCTGAAGTTGAGACTTATTAACAGATATGTCTGATCAACTAATAATGTTTTAGTCCTTGATCATATACAATAGTCCAAATAATGTGAAAGTGGAAGTATTCATCAAATACAGTATTGCTTGTGCTTTTATTCAAACCTTACCTCTTTCTCAATCCAAGAATCAGCACATGTCTCAGCTGAGAAGATGATATCAATCCTGTGACATTAAAAAACAGGAAGGAGATATCATTACTCATGGAAATATTAAATCTAATCCATTCCAAGTTTTCAATCTAAGCACACTTCAGTCTTGATTGTTTTATGTAATTAAATCAGAAAGAAATAGTTGCGGAACAAGTAGAGAAGTAGAGATAAGAGAAGAGACACTAGGAAGAAGAGATTGTGGGGTTCTCCATAGGGTTACCATCTTTTATACTTTATGTAATGTGGTGTTTATGATGTTTATATGCTTCTTTTATAATCAGGGGTAAATATGTCCTTTTACCCTCTTTTATGGTGGCCCTAATATAATAATGCATGGGGCTGCCTTCCACACTATCTTTTCTGGCTTTCAGTTCTCTGTTTTCTTCCTGTCTTCCTCTTGGACTGCTCGATTCCCTTCATGATATCAGAGCAAGAGATCTGATCAGACCAGGTTTAAGCTTCTTTTTTTTTTATCTTTTACCTCTTCTGTTTGTGGGACTGCAAAAGGATACTGTACTGATCTGATCGGGGGTTCCACTCTTCTCTTTTCTTTTCTCCTCCCATAGATGTTAGACAATGTATGCCCTCAGCTCCAACAGAAGTGATGTAAACTAATATTTGTTATTGAATAAATTCAGTTCATTATTATTTCATGTGTATATGTTATGTTTTAATGTAATACCCCTTAAGGTGAACATTATGAGACTTATGTTAGCTTAAAATGTTCTCAACCGAATGACAAACATGGGGAGTTTATCATGCCAAGGCTGACACTCTTATGCTGCTGAAATGATGGAGTAGTTTGTCTCAACTACTCAACTTGGACCTAAGGTACAATGAAAGGGTGTTTGAGAAACACTGAATGGGACCATTTCCAGTTTAACCCTAGACCTTGGAGATGGATGGGTAAAACTGGAAAGTTGCATTTAATCGCCTAACTTGATAATGATACGACACTAGGTGTTGAATTGATCTGCTTTTGATATGCCAAACATTGAGATCATTTGGGGTCAAATACATGGGTATGTTGGACCAGATTGGAAAGATACTTTAGTGAGCGATCATTGTGATAGGATCAAATACTATGCCAGACAAAAAGAATATCCCAATAACACTTCTATATTAGAAACCTAAAACTACCATAGTGGATTTCAACATGTTCTGAAATCGTTTGGCAAAATGCATTTATACTTATAAATAGTTTTTTTTTTTTGATAAAGAGTTTGCAAATGGTTTTAATCCTGTGATCTATTGAAATGTTTGCAAATAGGGGCACTTTTGTAATTTTTGCATGTTTAATGAAAAGACCTACAGTGTAGGTTGAGAGCAAGGATATAATAGTTCGTATTCTTATTCTAGGATATGCCACCAGAGGCATACTTGTAATTTTGCCTTTTTTATAAAGATTAATATAAATAAAAAACTGGCGGCTGCCAGTACTAAGTTTTTGCCTTTCCTTTCTATCATCCGTACCTCTCTCTCTCTCTCTCTCTCTCAATCATCACAAGAAACTACATGGTATCAGAGCCAAATTTCTGGGCTGGAGAAGACCTACGATCCTAGCATCAGTCTTTCTGAAGGGGATTGGACGTGACTACTTTTGTTTCAGAAGGAAAAGGAGGAAAAAAACCTAGCGGCGGCTTGTGTTTTTTAATTCTCTCTAGCGACAGTGCTTGCAAAAACCCTAGTCAGTCCTGCAGCTGTACTTCTGCTGAAACCCTAGTGGCTCCATGCGACAGTTACTGAAAACCCTAGCTGTGTCTGGCCGTGGGATGGTGCTGGTCTGCTGAAACCCTAATCGAAGGAGGGTGTTGATGGTGCAATGAAACCCTAGCAGGTTCTGATCTAGTGTTGAACAGGTATGGTTTTGTTTCAGTTTCTCTCAGTCTCCTTTATCCAATGGTGCGTAGGGCTTAGGCCTTGATTACATGATTACTAGTTTGAATAATTGGATGGTTAGAGTGGGGGAACCACATTCGGACTGACAGTAATGTCTGTATTGGTGGTGCTGAACCGATGACTGGACTCTTTATTGTTCTGTTTGGACGTTGTAGTGACTGAT